GGGCCTCCTTCTTGACTTGGACGCCCTTGCTGGCCTCCTAACCTTCCATACCATGCGCCAAACATGGTCATATGCATGGTGTCATGTCCTCATCAGTTCCCCTCACCGATCATAAGCAGATCCTCTTGATGAAGCGCTCCATGTAACAACCACCACCAATCTCACTTGATCTGAGTAAATTTGTTTCCTGCAACCTGCACAAACATAAGAGCATTGCGTAATCATGTCTGGGCGCGTGGAATATAAAATTGCACAAAGAATTTGTACATTCAGTTACGTACAGAAAAATCTGACGAACCAATCTTCCATTCAGTCCTGTTCACTTTCCGACAACAACTCTACGTGCTGGTGATGGAGGTTATATACTGAAAAATATGTACAGGTGAAGGCTAGCTTATAGTTTCAAAGTTCTGGAAAACAGGTTGCTAAAAAATCTTGACATATTGACATCCAGGAGTTCCCAAAATTATGGATATTTTACATACGGGCATATTGACAGTCTCTGATTAGATTCCACTGCCTTAGGGTGCTGCGTTTGGCTTGTAACTGTTGTGGGATTGGACTGTTTCAGAGGACGTTCTCTCTAGATGGTGGTCTCGATTTTGGGATTCAGAATGTCTCTTCTCTCAGATATGGTTTGGCTAGAACTGCTGAGGGCTAAACAACAGCTGGAAAGGCAGATGGAGACCTCACTCATGACTCATATCACACACATGAAGGCTGTAAAATTTGAGCATAAAGTTTTACCTAACCTGTCATATCCTGTCAGCTAAGATAAAGAAACAAAAAAAAGTGCAAATTCTATAAGTTACGGTCTCGCTAAATAATTGCAACTATAAAAGTAAACTGTTAAAACCAAAACATCAATTCAATTCAACTTGATTTTTACTGTGCACGCATGTGAAGATATCATATGTGCAGTAGACTAAGCACCAGTTGGAAAAGGCTATCCCAGTCTTCACCAGTTGGCTACTAATGTCTTTTTTACAGAAGGACATCTCCCAATCTATGGCGCAGATAAAAAAAACTTTCACTGTGAGGATAGAAGGTAGTCAGTACCTGGACATTGGCGAGATCGATTACTGAAAGATGCCTGTGGCGAGATTGATCAGTGTACTGGATGTCCTCTTTTGCCGGTGGTGGGGAGGCTAACGACAGGAGCTGCCCGACCTAACAGCAAAGTCATTAGCTTTTTATTTTTATTTGCTATCCAAAGACAGATAATGGATCAATTATAATTGTAAGAACAGTATAGGTATCTGGCTCGAGACACTTTCAGCATGTTTTAGACAACATGGTTATCATCACCCAACCCCAACAAACACCTGACTACATGTGAGAAGGCAATGGAACCTCTGTGTCTTATGTAAATTCAAGAAAAACTCCTATAAAGTTAACAGAAGTCCTGTTAATTCAAGAAATGCCAAATGACCAAATATTTTCTTCTATAATAATGGTCAAATATTAACATATGGCCAGAAAATTCACTACCGTCAAACTAAAATATCAATTGCTATAGTAAAGAGTACACATAACACTATCAGTTTGAAATTATTAATTAGGATAAATTATTCACCGTATGGCTCACTGCGCAGTAGCAGGAGGCAACCAGTCAAGGGCAGAAGGGAGAGGTTGCCTTCAGGGGCCTGGGCGCTTGGGTGCTGGGGGCCTGTTGCCTGATGCCCTGGCCGGCTGGGTGGCCGTCGTGGAAGGTCTTGGCAAGCCCCTCACTGCAGTCGAGCCCCAGCAGCAGCAGAGTGCACACCACTGCTTGGGTTAGGGCGAGGGCAGAGCATCACTGTAAAAGTGCAGAAGCCAAGAATCTTTTTTGAATGAAGACAGGATTTTTAGAGGCCTCAGAAGCATAGTAATCATCATTTGTTCATCAACTTGGAGCTTCAAGGCATGCTGAGAACTGGTTTATCCTCAGAAACTGCATGATATAAGTAACAGCCATGCCCAGTACCTGACAAGCGAACAAACATCAGATCATATCATTGAGCAATGGATATGGAATTTTCATCACAGGCTGAAGAAGGTAAAAAAAAATGCCAAATGGCATCAGGGACAAAACAGTAGTGTGGTCACATTCATCCATGTACGGTAGGCACTACCTGTGAACCCATTGGTGAGGCGACCGAAAAGAAGAAGGCCAAATCCAAATAAAGCGAAGTACCAACGAACCTTTAAAATAACAATGACAGTAAAAATATGCTGTAGCAATGCAGAAGCCAAGAATCTGTTTGGAATGAAGACAGGATTTTTAGAGGCCAATGTAGAAAAGGTTTTGAACCAATATATATATTACCTAAACGGAATAGGAAACCAAGCTTAGCAGGCAAAAAAATACGCGGTGGGATGATTGTGCCTTACTGAATGTGTACCTTGCACAGGAGTAAGACAACAAACGTAGAGTTGGAATGAAAAGCAAAGTAGGAAAATAGGAAACAGAAATAGAAATAATAACAATCAACTAATAGCGGGGGTACATGGCAGGAACATACTATGTGCATAGGCAGATATATTACTACAATTTGCCATTATCGCCGAGAGTATGTAAACGCAAAAAAAAGGAAATAGGGAATTAAAAGTAGGGGATCAGTTACATCACAAGGTAGCAGTAACAAGATTTACCGGAGGATAAGAGCATAGTATGACACAACTGTAGAAAAGCATTAAGCCTGGGCAGCAACCTGTTTTTCCATTTAGCAATGAAGTGTGGGACATGAGGTTGGATTGTAGGCATGAAAAAGCAGGTCATCATTGCATATACCAAAGTGCCTCAGTTGACTAAGAATAACAAAAAGACAATCTATATGTAATGGGCTGTCACACCATATGCCAAATGCCTCAGTTGATTAAACGTATTAATCATCATATGCCTAGGCCCCACTTCAAGTGCAGGTCAAATGATAATGAAAAGATGGAAAAAGAGTGATAATCATGACTGCATATTCTCATATGCCACAGTCGAGGAAAAACACCTGTTTGCAGCATCACCACCATTGAAACATGGTCAACAAAAATGGCCAAACAGCAATGGCACATGCAAATGTGTTCAGGTTGAAAAAGAGTGATAATCATGACCGCATATTCTCATATGCCACAGTCGAGGAAAAAATACCTGTTTGCAGCATCACCACCAATGAAACATGGTCAACAAAAGCTGCCAAACAGCAATGGCACATGCAAATATGCTCAAGTTTATCAGATGCCTCACTTGAAATCAAACTAAAAAGATCATGAAACAGTGGTAATCATGACTGCCTATTGTCAAATTGTATAGTCGAGAAGAAGATATTTGTGTGGAGTAACGTTGGCATTGACATGTGGCGAAAAAATGGAAAGCAGCAATGGCATGTAAATATTGTCAGGTTTGACATATGGGAATGCCTCTCTCACAATGATAAAACAAAAACCATAAGAGAGCGATAATCATGAACGCATACTGTCACTTAACTCTGCAAAGGGGCTGGGGTTCACTCGAGGACACACCGTCCATGCTACCAAAAAAGCACCTCCTATATCTCAGGAAAAATATATCATTTTGTAGCATCATTAGCATTGACATAAGGTCGACCCAAAAAAACGCAAAATAGCAAAGGCATGGAAATATGTTCATGTTAATCAGAAGCACCTCACAGGTATCATCATATGGTCAAACTGTAATACGTACATCATCAGCAATGGCATATGCTCATACTAAAATAAGCAGCAACATAGGAAAACACTTGTATATATTGATGAGAAGATGGATGCAGCAGCACAATAGACATGAATTAAAACATAGGCAAAGAAGATGCAAAGTCACTCCGTATAGGGTGATAAGCTCCTGAAGCCCTTTGGCAACATCATATTTATAGCGAGAGTGGAAGGGAATGAGTGGCTGAGGTTTAACAGGCGGTGTAGCCACGCTGAGCGAATTTGGAGTGACGTGGCCCATTTCTCCTACCGAGGTGAATCTTGTGATTATAGAGGGAGATCACTTCCTCAATTATAGAGGGAGATCACTTCCTCACAACAAACCTATAAAATAACAATGGCAGTAGCAATGAAGAAGCTAAGAATCTTTTTTGAATGAAGATAGGATTTTTGGAGGCTTCAGAAGCATAGCAATCATCATTTGTTCATCAACTTGGAGCTTCAAGGCATGCTGACAACTGGTTTACCCTCAGAAACTGCATAATATAAGTAGCAGCCATGCCCAGTACCTCACAAGCGAATGAACATCAGATCATATCATTGAGCAATGGATATGGAATTTTCATCACAGGCTCAAGAAGGGGAAAATAGCAAACGGAAAACACTGAGAACATCAGATCATAACCAATCTCCCTCTACAATCACAAGGTTCTCCGTGGTAGGGGAGCTGGAGCACGCCACCCCCAAAATCACCTGTACACTTAAACGATTCAGCCCAGCAGGGGAGATGGGCCATGGCACCCCAAAATCGCTCAGTGTGGCCACGTCGCCCGTTAAACCTCAGCAAGGCGCGGACGATTTGGAGGGGTTACATAGCCTCTGCAATAGTGACAGCGAGCTAGCAGATTACTTTATCTACCATTGGCTCGATTACTGCTGGATCTGCTCTCTGTCATTTCAAGCAATAATTTTTTGCCTTTCAGACAACCCAGCCAGAAGCTAAAATAATGAAACTGCACCAACTGAGAGCACAACAATGCGTCGAGTACTCATGAAAGTATAAGATGCAAATTACAAACTACAAACACTGATGGAATAAAGAGGGAATGCCAATATTGTCCCAATTTTTGAGCATCTGCGTTAACAGGAGTACCCAAAGAAAAAAACATGTCTTGGAAATGCCGAAGGATGTTAGATATATTCGTGGAACACCTCACACTGGTGGCAGGAGTGACAATATTTTTTAGATAGATGCTTGAACTACTATGGCTCCAAATACTAACAAATATGAGCACAGTTACCTGAATCAAATCTTTCTCTTCTATCACACCCTTAACTGTTCCGCCTTTGGCAATGAACTAGGCCAGTATCTGCAGGGACAGATTTAGAGAGGCATTATGATTGATCAGGGTGCAAAGCCTAGAAGTGTATAGACCCTAAAGACTATGCCAAAACATAGAGCCAAAAAATAGCAACAGGGGAAAACCCCGCACTCTAGCAATGTTACCTCCTTGCCGATCTTTGCACTTATAGTCCCATTCTTAATGGATGCTATCAGTTCAGAAAGCTCTAGAGGTGTTAATTTGATATCATCAATGGAGACTTTTTCATCTTTGAGATAAGTAGTGTCATTGCCAATTGGTGCCGTCCTTTCACAGATAAACACAGAGAAGGCAAACATTGGAACAACAGGCATTCTAGGCCAAACCCTAGAACATGAATCGAAGTCATTGAAGGGACGAATCAGAGAGGCAAAAGCAAAATCCCAAAATACAAGAGGAAACGGGAGCACCTAAGACTGCTCTGTGCCAACCGCGGCACCGCCGAGACCCACCGGCACCAGGCACGAGCACCATGTGCGGCCACAGCAGGAGAGAGGGAGAGGGGGGAAGATGAGGACGACTGGCCTGCAAGGCCATGCCTCTACCCTGCCCTGCGCCGGCCACGCCATGGCCCGGTGGTAGATCGAGACGGAGGGAGAGGGAGAGGGGAGGGGGGCCGCCCGCGCTGTGCCACCGCCGCCGCAGCACGCCACCTCACCTGAGGACAGCCAACGCGGCGGGCCCGTACGATGCGCCTGCACACCGGGAGAGGGGGAAGAGAGAGAGAGGTGGCGCGACAGCTAGGGCGAAGCTACGTGTAGCCATCGGGGTCGGCCGACCCCGACGGTTTTGCCGTCGCGCTTGCCCTAGCTATTCTTGGCCGGTGTAAATTTTTTTGTTGGATCCCGGTGGTAGTCTGCCAGCCCAGTAGCAACAGCCCATCTCAACATCTCCCTAGCCCATAAGTGATCAGGCTAGCAATAGAATAGGCAGGCAACCAGCCGGCCTGAATGCCAAACGTTGCCATGTCCCATTTTCATCTTCGTTATTCTCGGCTGCTTGCATCCCAAATCCTTTCTGCTTCTCCCATCAGCGCATCGCTAATCCTCCTTGCCGTCGGGTGGTGAAGTGATGATTTGAGTTGGGTGGCCGGCCGGTATTAAATCCCAGTGATGAGCGAGCCGTCGACTTGCGACGGTGGGCAGCTCCGGCGATAGCAATAAGGTTGCTCTCCGCTCATCTCCTCTCCTGAGTGTGTCTCCGTCCAATCTTAGGTTTTTGTTTTTTCTAGCTATACAGTCTGAACTTGAAAGGCAAGTAGTACATTCACAAGATGGAGGATTGTAACCACATAGGGAAACTATAGGAGGTAACTGCGCACTATGCAATTGCTATTTTATCTTTGTGATGTTACGTATGATATATATTATCGTCAGGGTTTAAAATTTTGGTGAAATTTTGCGAATTTCGGTGGTGTTCGAAAGAAAATCCGATTTTTTGTAATACACTGATACATATGCTATATAATTCTAGACTCATATTTTCTATTGTTTATGTTGCATATTCTTCTATTCAATAGATGTGTAGTCATAAATCATGCTAATATATGTTTAGATCTAAATATTCTTAGAAAACATACTTCATGTGCTAGTCTCTAGAAAAATTTTGGCCAAATTTCATAAAATTCGGTAATTTCGAGGGTGGCAGAAATTTTTGTAATACCAAAATTGAAAACCGTGATTATTGTAACCTATGACTTAGGACTTAGTACGGTGAGTATTGACCCCAGCGACCAATTTTCCTGGCTTCGCCCTTGCGCGACAGCGGCGCGCCACACCGAGCCGGGCTCGCCCACCGTCGGGGCCCACGGCCACGCGCAACGCAGGGAGGCCGCCGTGTTCGGGGCCCGCCGCAGCGCTGCCACCTCGGGAGAGAGAGAGGGAGAGGGAGAGAGGAAGGGGAGGCGACGGGAGCAGCGGCGACGGCAGTGGCGGCGCCGTGGGTGGCATGGAGGAAGGTAGAGGCGCAGTAGCGTGGGAGTGGGAGGTGAGGGAGCGTGTGTTTTTTCACTAAGGCCGGAGATATTTGCGGAGGAACGTGCGGCTGAGGTTTACCAGGTGACGTGGCCCATCTCCCCTGCCGGGGTGAACCTTAGGATTGTAGAGGTGAAAAATAGCAAAAGCCCCCGCACACGTGAGTGCTGCGTTTCTGTGTGCTGACTGGGACTGGCATTATGCAAACAAATAAGCTAGCATCCGAGTAAAACTACTATTACCTTGGTCCAAAAAAGTATATAATTATATCATCATATCAAGTCATTTTTTAAAGTTTAGTTTGACCATATTTATTTATATAATATAGAAAAGTATCATATATTTATATGTAGAAAAATATCAATATTTATGATACTAGATAAGTATAATTAAATTCTTCATTAATATATCTTAATAATACATTTATTTGATATCATAAATATTATCACAAACTTTGGTCAAATTTTAAATTGTTTGAATATGAGTGGACTAGAAATATGACTTTTAGAGCAAAGGTATTACTTAATATAGCATGTTAATTTTAAACGAACCAGTTGCTTGACTAATGACAACTGCGTGCCTTTTCACAAACGCTAGCGTCTGCTGGACTGGTGATACTATGGTCGTAGTAATTTCATCAGTCTAATGAACCTTGGTAATGCATTTAGATGTGCACAGCTTATGGAAGAAGTGTATCCAACATTCCAGGGGGTCCATTGACGATTGGGCCCCCAAGACCCACGAATCCATGCGGGCCTGATGCTGGGGAATGGTTGGTTTGGGTTTCCCCCGCAGGCCACCACAAAACAGTGTGCCCTGTAGTGTCCGGCGTCCCTCACATCCAGTACTGGTCGCATTTACTGCGGCCCTGGTGGGTCCCGGCACGCAGGGACACAGCCCTGCCATGCCACCCAGCCAGCCCCACAGGCAGGCACTGGCCATGCGTTTTTTGACGAGAAAAATTCACCGCCGGTCCGAACTTTGGCGGGCGGTGTTATTTAGGTAGCTAAACTAATTTGACAGATAGTGTCATCTAGATTCTTAAATTTTTAAGGTGATCATTGTAAGTCTCTAAACTTAGCTAACAGTGTTATGCCGGTCCCTAAACTTTCAGGACGATCACCAAAGGTCCTTAAACTCGACAAGTGGTGTCATCTCTATCCAATCCAAGTGTATAATATTAAAAGTTACATATAGTATTAAAAGTTATCTCTGTTAAAAGTTACTTCTAATTTTAATACTATTAATGATATATAAATATTAAATTAATTTTAGTATTTTTCTATTTTAGTTTAAACCTAATATATTTGTTGTTATAAATTATTTTAATATTTTATTTTATTTTTTTGATGTAAATTATTTTATATAATTTATATTTTCATGATAAATATTATATAAATAATGATTGATTATTTAACACATGTTGGATCAAGTTTAACGTATAGTCAGCGTACCGCACCAGCTTATAGAGTATGTTAGCTCGTGTTTAGTTGGCCGAATTTTGGAATTTGAGCTACTGTAGCACTTTCGTTTTTATTTGGCAATTAGTGTTTAATCATGGACTAATTAGGCTCAAAACGTTCGTCTCGCGATTTCCAACCAAACTGTGCAATTAGTTTTTTTCGTCTACATTTAATGCTCCATGCACGTATCGCAAGATTCGATGTGATGACTACTGTAGCACTTTTTGAAAATTTGAGGTTGGAACTAAACACGGGCTTAGACCATATTTGGACATGAAAGATATCGTTTGTTAAGTTTAAGGACCTACAGTAATCACTTTGAAAGTTTAGGGACTATGACGACACTGTCAGTCAAGTTTAGAGACATGCGGATATCATCTTAAAAGTTAAAGGACTTAAATAATACCGCCTGATAAATTTAAGGACTCACATACTTTAGAAGTTCGGGGAACTATATGACATCATCAGCCAAGTTCAGAGAACGAGGATGATTTTTGCTCTTTTTTGACCGTTCATGAAAAGCCACACTGCCTTCTGGCGCTGGCAGCCTGACGCTGGACTGGGCGGGCAGCGACTGCGGCAGCGTTGGAGCGGAGTGGACTGCGCCTGCGCCCCTCCTCCCGTCCCCATACTACGGGACACGCCACTTCACAAAACTGGGCGTTGCCCAAGCTGCTGCATTTAAACTAAAGAGAAAATTTCTTGTGAGCCATTAAAAAAGATCGTAATTCTATGTGAGCTACTAAAAAGTTTAGCGGACTTCAGCGTCACTGTTCTAACTTTTTTTTTGCCTCCATACCACTACCGTTAGATTGAGCTCTACCGGTGTCAAACTACAGGTATAAAAAGTCCAAAATACCCTTAGGTCTAAATATGTCATTAATTTTTTTAGTATCTTAACGACTTCAAATGAAAAAACTCAAAACTAGAAAGTTGTAGATCTCGTCGAGATCTATAATTTTCATATAAAAATTATCTTAATTTAATACCGCAAAAAAGATATGATTTTTCTAAGATATATTGATCATATAAAATCATATCTTTTTTTACGGAATCAAATTAAGGTAATTTTTATATGAAAATTATAGATCTCAATGAGATCTACAGCTTTCTAGTTATGAGTTTTTTCATTTGAAGTTGTTAAGATGCTAAAAAATTAATGATATATTTAGACCTAAGGGTATTTTTGACTTTTCACACCTACGGTTTGATACTGTTAGAGCCCAATCTGACGGCAGTGACATAGAGGGCAAAAAAAAAAATTGAAACTGTGGCGCTGAAGTCCGCCGAACATTTTCAGTGGCTCACGAGGAATTGCAATATTTTATAATGGCTCAAGAAATTATCCCTAAACCAAACCCCCCTCGTCGTCGCTTCAGTTCAAGCGAGGAAGAGAGAGAGTTGTACAAGGGGCGCCGCTGGCCGCACTGTAGAGTACCTTGTTCACCGCCGTCGCCCGCCATCTCACATCCACAACATCCATGGCGGACGTAGCTCTCCTCTTCCGCTGGTGGCGGTGGCCGCCGCGCTCATCGGGCGCTCAGGTGTGTTGTGTCCTTTGCAATCTTTCTGATTTTCTCGGCAAGCCGTGGGTTCCCTTTGCAATCTCTCCGAAACTCGGCTCTCGCCGCCGCTGGATGCCCTATGGTTGGTCGTGTCTGGAACTGGAAGACAGCATGTGGTGCGTGTGCCTCACGGACCTGGCGGACAGCACGCTGCAGAAGACGCTAGACTACGCGTGCGGCGGCGGCGCCGACTGCAAGCCCATCCTACAGAATGGCGCCTACTTCGCGTCGGACACCGTCAAGGCCCACTGCTCCTACACCGTCAACAGCTTCTACCAGCGCAACAACCAGAACCCGTAGGCCTGTGTCTTCTCCAGCATCGCCACGCTCTCCAACAACGACCCGAGTGAGAATCAACTGCACCCCCAATAGCTCCTTTTAATTTCTGCATCCCCAAGGCATTTTCAGATGCTCGGTTGAGATTATATTCCTAGCTCCGCGTTTGACTCGTTGTTTCTTCCGTGGCTGCAGGCGGCAATCGCCCTGTTCGCTTGGCTTATAAGGTGTATTTTTCAGCCAATAAATAATATTTTTCTCTCACAACAAATCAGCCAACAGTATTTTTAGCCATGTCTTATCAGCCAAGCGAACAGGATAAATGGTTGAACGTACCCTACGACCCAAGGTAATCCTTGCACGACATTGCCACCTTTTCGCCACTCCTTTCTCGCTTTTCTTGACAGATAGAGATAGAGGCGGCATGCCATGCTATCGTGAATTCGTAGCATCGGCGTTTCTTGGCACAGGCACTACTGAACTGACTT